CAATGAAAGCGTCCACGTGAAGGACACAGTACTCCTTTCCCACTTATGTGTCCTCGCATTGAAGTTGCGCATTTCAGAACTTGTCCTTAAGGAAGTATTAAGCATTTCTTATTTCTGTGCAAGCTTGGAAGTCTTATCTTATGGCTTCGATTTTCGTATGCCCTTTTGAATGAACTTGTGTTGGGTTCTTTTAGGCGCATATTGGGTTCGTATTTGCATGTTGTGAAAAACTTATTGAAATTCTGGATTTCAAAACAAAATGTATTTTGTGCAATTGAAATTGGAATTGAGTACACAGAAATTGGAAATTTATAACGACTGCCATGCTTAGCACTGCACTGCATACGAAGTACTTTCAAAATTATTATGCACATAATGTACACTTAAGAGTGCAATATGGTTTTTCTGCCTGGCGTGAATATGTGCTGGTTTGAGTTTCTATTAATTTGTGCTTCTGGCCATTAATGTCTGGGTTATTTATGTGCACACTTACTTACTTATTTCATTAATTCAAATATATATTTATCGCAAACGGAGGAAGAATCATAGTCTTCAAAAATATTCAGTATAAAAAGACACCAGGTATTTTACAATATATGGGTATATGTATTTTAGTATATTTAAATTTGGAGATAAATCCACTCTCTTAATGAATGTTATAGTACGTACTGTCACCTAAATGAATCCATTGAACTTCTAGTTTAAAAACTAAAATTGTTAGGATCCCACAGTATTCTAGGTATTCTAGCTTTAATTATTATTACTATTAGCGAAATAGAAAGTATTTGGGACATATTACATGATGAATGACCACGGCAGATTTACGCTCTTTTTGGTCATGACCAAAAGACATGTTATCAGAGAATCACATCAAAATCAAAAAAATACTTTCATATCCACACTAAAATATACATACTTACTTCTAATAAGCGTAAATTTTGACATTAATTACTAAGGAACACTATTTTGACGTCACCGTGACCAAATTTAAAAAGAAATTACTCCTTTCCATTTACAATTTTTTAACTTACATTGCAAATAATACAATTTCGAATTTGATGTGTGCATGAATCTCTTCATAATATTGACTTTATACACCGCGACTCCGTTACAATAAGTCACAATATACCATATATCGTGCTAATTCTAGTTGTTGCAACTGATCTTTATGCTTTCAATAAATTTGAGCACCTTTGACAAATTTTTATGGTTCTATATGCTATGACGAGCAACAAGTCCTATCCATTTCATAATGGATAAGTCTGGTGCTGCTCAATTTCGGATATTCACAAGGCCCATTTTGTTGAGATGGTCAGAAACCCGGTACGAATTATGATATTCTCTCTGCTCAGATTATAGTGTCAGTTAGAAACTGTTTAAGATAGATAGATTTTAGATAGTCTTTGTAATTTATTCAGTTTTTTTTTGCATTAAGAGTTTTTCAAGTATTTAAGTTTGTTGACTTCATGTCTCCCGACAGATTACAGAATGGCACTGGTTCAAATTATTAACGTTGGTCTTACCATTTGACGAGACAGTCATTCCCTTTGTTGCCTTTGTCTCTTTAATGTTCCGTGACTTATCACAAGGTAACGTTATTACTTTATACAAGTTTATTGAGGAGATCTAAGCAGTTGTCATGCTTAATGAACCTTGATAGAATTTAAGGCCAGTAAGTTCACTCGATTGTATGATAGAACACTGACTGTCTTTTTATTTGTCTTTTTGCTTAGATTTCGTTGGTAAATAGTTCTGACCGAAGTTATACAGGCGGATATACACTTAACGATGGATATACACTTAACGAAAAAACGACCTAATATGTCTACCCCAGTATTATCATCTATAAATTTAGATTCATCTGAATATTGGCGTTATGAATCCGCACTTAATTGATTCAAATTTTTTACTCAATTTTCTTAGTTTTGAATGCTGATTAAAAATTTCTTTACAAAATTTAATTTTTTTGGAATATAATCATGTATCTTAAAAAATGTATCATCATATACTGAAGGACTCTGTAAGTCTTCTCATATCATATTATCACATCCATTTTTTAAAATTAGAATAGTGAGTGGCAGAATGTCAGGAATGACACCTTACGCATCATAGGGGACTAATTTTTATGACTTTCAACACAAATCTATTTATTTTACTTAAAGTAATTTCAGCTTCGTACGTTGTCTTTTTGGAAGAGATGCAATGTCGAATCTAGCAAATAGCTTTAAATAATATTCATTGGTGACCGTAAACTTTTTCTAAAGATGCGTTAAATAAGATAAATATATCATAAAAAACTGGTCAGTAATACATCATGATGCCTGATACGTTACTTCTATGTATTATTTAACATCTCTGTTCAGTTCTTATAAAAATAATAATGCATTTGCAAACTCCATCCATTGCAAACTAATATATAGCAAGCCCCTACAAGTCTCTTATCATACCTGTCCTGCTGTTTGGTGTAGAAGGTTCGACAATTACCAACAGTGATGAGAAGGCGTTAGGAGCATTTGAGAAAAAAATTCTACAGAAGATCTATGGTCCCTTACCCGTTGGCAACGAGTATCGAATTAGATGGAACGATGAGTTGTATAAGCTATACCGCGACATTGACATATCGTTGACTGGCGGAGACTTTTCCACGTGACCAAGGACGACTCACACATATAATGGCTAAATAACAAGAAGAAGAAATCAGTAATTATATTTTTGATTTTTAATTATTTAGAACTGGTTTTTATATATGTATTAATAATCAATTATCTAGATCTTGGTTAACTAGATATAGAAAAAACTAGTTGAACTACGTATAATATCTTTCATATACCGAATATTAAAGATGTTTTAAAGATAATAGATACTACTTTTAGGGTCTCATGACATCTGATAGACAAGTTCGTTTAAGCCTGGTTATTCGATCCCTTATAAATACTCAGATGCAAATTCGTTGAAGTGATATGTAAGTCATTGTGATTAATGTTAACATTGATATTGGTTGGAATGACTGAATCACAATGTTCGTCACAATTTCTAATGTAAATGGAGTGTTAACTGTATATTATGAATATATATCGTCATAAGACTTTGTTTTAGAAACGCTGAACCATTATATAGTATACAATATATCAAGTTTTTTTTGCGTGAACAAGATGGAACGGCTGTCGTTAATAAAGTTAATTTTGCTTAGTTTTAGATATAGTTCTACAAGTTTCAAAGCAGAACTTTAACCCTCAAGGACATATTAAGATATGTAATTTTATTTACATATGTTACCATATATTTGCTGAATTAATATAGGTCATGCTTTCATGTAGTATTTTATATATTTAAATATATTCACTCATCCGTGACTTTACAGTCCATGTAGGACCTAAGCCTGTTTTCCATTCTTCTCTGTTTTTTGCTTTTCTTTTCCAATTTTTTATATTCATTACTTCTAAGTCATGCTACGCACTATCTTTCCAACTTTTCGTTGGTTGCCCATATTCAAATATATATACTTTTTATAAACACCTTTCAAAATAACAGCTGCAGCATGTAGTTGCTCCAGATGACGCGTCAACTTCTTGTTGGGCGTTTATATCTAAAACTTTTTAACTTTAAAGTCCAATATGTTGAAAACAATGTTATATTGACATGCATATTATATTGGCATATTGCTTACAATACAAATATTTAAATTTTTAGATAAGATGAACCAACAATGAACTCAATCATTGCTCGTGCAACCAATGTATGTATAGCAGTTGCTACTAGGTAAATAATTGTAGTTTTAAACTTCAATATTACTAGAATCAAACTATATCGTTGTTGTTGTAGCAACCTGTGGGGAACTGTTTGTGAAATCCATTTGGGGAGTATTAATTGGAACTTGATCATCGAAATCGTCGCTGGTGAAACCTGTTTAATCTGTCGTCAAACCGTGACGCCAATTAAGAAAATAATTAACCCTTTTTTCAACCTTATTTCAAACTTTTAAATAATATAAAAACATTTATTTTGTATAATAATTTTTGTTTTTATTATATATATATACTTTTCCATAATACTTTATGCATATTTAGTAATTGATATACTCTATAAAATTATTTATATGTAACACATTAATATAGAATTGATTAGTGTAATTTTCATCTGATTTAATATGATCTTTTATAAATATTTTAAGATTATATGTATTTTCTTTAAAATTGTTTAACTCGTTTTTTTTATTATTTTAATTAATTTTCGTTTTGCATTTAATTTTTTCACTTATATATATTACTTTTGTAGAACCCTGCATGTTGTTGTTGTGTTTCTTTGTTACTTATATAAAAATTAGTTTCATTCATATATAATAAATGAACATATATCAGGTATATATGTACATTTGTATAAGCATATATATATATATATTTAATCTAAGCTACATATTTTATTTTCTTTAATTTATATTTTAAATATAAAATAAAATAATAAGTTCGCAATGGCTTTCCATAGATGTGCCATTGCAATTCCCGAACTTCGTAGTTCTGGCTTGACGTACGTTCCGTACTTCGTAATATATATATGTCCTTATGACTTAATAAAACGGCACCGGTGCTTAAAATGCAAGGTTTAGGATGAAGTAACTCGCCTGTTTCTTAATGTTTTATAATAAAAATATATTTTTTAAAATAGGTTCGTTGAATGCAACCCTGTATGATTGGTAAGAGCAAGACCGCTTGTCTAATGAGTACTGATAACAAATTTATTATATTACATCTAATATAAGTTTCTTTTCAAATTGTAAAAAAGAAATTCTTTAAATTTTTTTTTAACACATGAAATCCGAATTTTTTTTTTTAAAACATCAAACCAGAGATCGGCAAAAATATATACACACATTCATTTCTACATAAGCATTTGTGTATCACGAAAATACACAGCGACAAATAAGTCAACATTAATCAGTTGATACATTTTCAATAACATTTTTATATGAAATCAACTTGAAGTTTCTTTTCCAATATAATTGATATTACAACAATTAAATACAAACCATGAAAATGTGCTGAAAACCATAATTATTCGCGAAATATATGAATTCTCTTCCCTCCAAAAATATTAAAAAGTTTTAAACGGCACGATTCCGGTATCCCGGACATTCCCGGGATACCGGAACGATTCTTTAAAACCCCTATCTACACCTTGACTAGATTATTGTTGGTCACTACGTCAGACTAAGCAATAGTTGACCTCAGGCAACATTTTTCACCACACTAACTGTTCATATAGCTAAGTTTTCGAGATATAGAAACTTAGTTTGAAATTTTGCATTTAACCACCAATAGTAAGTAAACGGGCCATCTGACGTATGTAATCGTTGTTACCCATGGTTTGTCTAATCTATTTCAAGATGTACCTAGTTGAAGCTAAATGGGGTTTGTAGTTTTTTATGTACAATGAATGTAAAAAGATTTTAACTTTAACCTTCGATATATCCGGAAGCAACTTATATTGGTGTATAGTTTACTAAAAAATTAATCGGCGTTTTCAGGATATCGAAATCCCGTTTGTTTGAACATAAACATATTTGCTGTATACAATATACAAAAGCAATCAGCCATAAGTGCCATGATATGTCGACCATTGATTCAGAGAATATTTGACCACCTGAGAGAAATATTGTTTGCGTGGAAGATGTAATGTAAAGAATATTTATATACATTTTAAATAAAAGAAAAAGTTTATAGACGTATCAGATTCAAAATAACTGCTTTCTACATTTAGAATAGTGATTTGTGAGGAGACAGAAGATTATTCTTTTAATTTTGAGCGGTCTTGTTACGACAGTTTTATAGTTGATATGTAGTTTAGAGGGCGCATTCAACGATTTTGCTTAAAAGAACTTATCTACACTGAAGCAGCACTTCTATGGATATACATAATATGTATCGATACATCTAAGTGGTAAAACCAGATATGTTAACTCAACACGTATTTTATGAATCTAAATTTCTCTTAAATTTATGATAATGTGCACATACTGTATTTGCTTGGATACGATGCCATGTCTGTCATACATTGGTAGCGGATGCCGCTGTGAGAAATTCATGGGATGAGTAGCAAGCGTTCGCACTAGCCTAATTCAATATGAATATTTTTTACTTCTTATACATTAATTATATAAAATTAAAACTAAGAGTGTAGCGTTGCAACATAAAGCACTGATATCAACAGCAGGATTGTAATTGAAGACCTCAGATTCCCTGCCCGGCTGGTAAGCTCGAACTCGTGCACAGGTAAACCGTTTGTACTTCCAGTTGTTCCTCTGCTGCCATAGCCACTCGCACCAGTGGTTTTATCTACGAAGGATTTTTGTTCAGATAAACCGATATCATTAAGATTAGATTGATAGCGAGTATCTGTGCAAAAAATAACAATTAATATAAAATGTAATGATAAATGAGTGACGTGACTGTGCGAAATAGTACGTGTTATATTTATAAAAAAAAAAGATTGAAATATTGAAATAAATACAAGTAGAAAATTTTAAACTTAAATTAAAAAAGAAGTTTTTTTTTATAACAAATAAACGTAAATATATATAAATAAATTATTTAATATTATATATGGTATTTGTCGAACTGATACTATTTACTGGATTTTAAAGACGAGATGATTTAAAAATCATTACAAGATATAACATTTCATTGTATTGTTATCAATGATAACTTTGAAACTGTTAAGGAATTGGTCCATATTAATGTCATCATAACCATAAAGAACTAAATTTGTATAAGGATTCTGCGAAGAAGAACTTTTGCTTATTGGTCTGATTGTGGAATAAATAGTTTATATATTAATAACATTAATAATATAAATAAAATAAAATAAAATAAAATAAAATAAAATAAAATAAAATAAAATAAAATAGAATAAAATACAATAAAATAAAATAAAATAAAATAAAATAAAATAAAATAAAATAAAATAAAATAAAATAAAATAAA